TCCCCTGCAAAATTGGAGAGAGTTTTATGTAGTTTAAGCTTCTAACAACCACGCCCGTGGACTTTTTATTATTTACACAAAGGTAAAAGTGTATAGCAAGAATCCCTATTCAGTGAAGGATTCATCCTTTTTTATGCAGATGCTTCTTCTACCATTCTTGACCAGAAGTGCGTTTCAAACTCAATGATATGGGCATCATCCCATTGAATGTTGTGTCCAGTGTTACGGGTTTGTTTTGCTACTTGCTGCCTAATCTGAGGGCTCTGTTGTGCTCTTTAAAAAGAGGACACAATAGGGGCGGCGCAATTTAAATATCAAGGAATGTATTAGAGTTTATTTCTAAAATGAAATGAAAGGGCTATTTGACTTTCAAGAGCGATAAAAACTCTAATCCATCCCTTGAAATTTAAATTGCACTGCCCCCATTCAGTGTGCCATTTTCAAAGAGCACAAAAAGGCTTCAGATTGAAGATTCCATCTCATAAAATTGTGTATAAGAGAGAAAGAGAGTTTATTTCGAGAGAAAAAATGAAATGAAAGGGCTATTTGACAAGAGCCCTTTCATTTCATTTTAGAAATAACCTCTCTTCCTCTCTTATAGACAATTTTCTCTCTTGAAAGTCAATAACCCTTTCATTTCATTTTAGAAATAACCTCTTTTTTTCTCCTAAAGACAATTTTTTTCTTGAAAAGGCTCTACCAGACCCCTCAAGCTCTGCCACGTTGTATGGATCCATTAGAAAGCAAAATAAGCCCACTCAATAATTGATACATATTAAAACGTCATAGCGATTCATCCAAATAAGAAATCCACGTAAGAGGCATTTTGAATGTTTTAAGAAAATTCTTTCAAATTCCAGGATATTGGGTGTTCTTTTTCAGGAAACTCTATTTAAACGAGTGGAAGCACTGGCGGTTCTGTTTTTTTTTAAACTGTAACAATTCTCCTTGGATCAGATATAGACCAAAAACAAGCCTCATTATCTTCAGTATACAAGTGTCATTTCGGACCTTACAGCTTTCATAGAAATCGCTTCTGGACCGTCAAAGAAAAAGTTTGAGAACCCCTGGTCTACGCATTATACACATCAGGACCAACTTGACAACTTGACAAAAATTTGAGGGGGGTTCGACCCCCCCCCCCCCCTCTGCCTTATCCATCGTTACCGTCACTACCATTTGAGTAGGGCCGGCCCCCTCCTTTATAACGACTCCCAAGCCATCAAGAATGACCCCATAATTTATAGATTACCATTCTGCCGTTCTTTGGAGGGGCCGGGCGCGGCCTTTTCAGAAGTGTTTCTACACTAACCTTTTCATGCACTCCGGCTTAACATAAACAAGCATGCTAAGATTGTTTTGAAAAGAAGCATAATTTCGACTCAGTTTCGCATAACCTAAAAATAAGAATACGGCCAGTCACCCCCCCCCCCCTCCCCCTTAATGCATCCGCCTTCACGCACCCCCTTCCCCTTGTCTTTCCCTTATTCGTCGTTACTGTCACTAATTTTTAGTGCCATTTCGTTGTCTTGCTTTCTCACCGGCTCCTCTCTTCTTTTTCTTTCCTCTTTTTTGAACTCTCTCTCTTTTCTTTACTTTTTGTTCTCTTTTCTTTTATCTTCTCCTTTCCCCCCCTTTTTTCCCTTCTTTTTTTCTTCCTCATTTTTCCTTCTCAAGTTTTTTGCTTCGCCAATAGGGGGGGCCGCGGCCGTTTCGGCCCACCCCTGGATCCGCCACTGGAGGGTGTCCCAATTCTTAGGTGGACGTCCCACATTGGATGCGCCCTGTGACGTGCCTGGCAAGTCTGAAGTTGGTTCTGTTTCTGTCCCAGTATCTGTGCTGTTTTGCTGTGCAAGAAATGTTTCTACTTCAGTATTGAATGTCAATGTCTGATTAAGCCAGTCCTCGTTTTCTTTCATGAAATATTCCTGGTAACGACCACACTTGTTCCATTTCTCTCGCATACGATACAGAAAGCGTCCAATAGTCTTTGACAAACTCTTGATTAGTTTTTGTGGGATGTTTGACTTGTTACCCACACTATGATATGCACATAATGCATCAATGGATGTTTCGGATGCCAGTTTGATGTCTGAAATGAAGCCAGCTGAATGCACAGCATGAAAAAGCTGTCTTCTTAATACCGCCATCGTTTATTTCAATCCAAGTTCTCCTAGAATGATACCATATGTTATTGCAAATTGCATCAACGTGTGGAAGCAATATACACTACGCTATACGCTCTACACTGACGTAACCGTTGGCATGGTTACGCGGACGAGCGTTGAATAGTACAAATGTGTACCGATTATGCCTAATAATAGTAATCGAAGGACGTGGGGGAGGAAAAGCACCTACACATGCAGTGTTGCAAATTCTGGCAAAAAGAAATACCATACATGAAAAGCTTAGGTTTGGGCAGACATTTTGAGATTAACATCACTGCGGGAATCGGCCGGAATCCTAATAAATATGCTACTTTTATATAAAAATTGCAATTTTTTCCTTTTTTCGTGAAATTTAATGCTCATTTTCCCCAAAATGAAGCTTCCATAAATGTGGTCATTGTATTTTCTAATTGGGTTACCAATAGGCAAGAAGTGCACGCAGTATCAAGTTGATTGCTTTTCCCTTCATAAATTCTCAACACCTATTGCAAAGTCGCTTCTTTTATCATTTTTGGAGAAACATATAGATTTTCCCATGTTCGCAGGGGTATATGACACTTTTAAAACTCGCTAAATATTAAAATATGGGTGGAAAAATATTCTTTTGAATGTTTTCTTCCCAAAGCGATTAAAAAAAATATAAAAATTCACATTCGCCAATTTTGAATTTTGGCACACTTTGAGGCGATTCTGGCCCACTGTGCGACGCAAGTGCTGAATACGGGGTGTTTAAATGAGCTATGACCGTTTCTGTACTGGCTACCCTCGCGATCTTTTAATTGTCAGAATGCCCATTAAACTGACATGCCGGTTTTGTGAATCCTCAAGTATTTTTTTTCACAAGACTATGCAGAATGCCGAAGCGTTAATGTGATGTAAATTCTTTTCAATACATGTGGATATCAAGCTTGAGCCAAAAAGTGTTTTCTTTTGTTATTAGTGAAGAATTATAGAAAACATGTGCATGTATGTAGAAATGAATAGATTTTACATAATTATCATCACGTATTAGTCAAAACATGTTATTTCACATTTAGATTGGTAATAAGAGCTTCCATATCGTTTTGGGGGGAGGGGGGGGGGGTTCCAAAAGCAGTCTATACCGTTAAAAGAGAAAGAGAGGTTATTTCTAAAATGAAATGAAAGGGGCTATTTGACTTTCAAGAAGAAAAATAAAATTTATATCGGGCGTGTCTGTTATTGATGAATGAAGTTTTAACAACCACTCCTGTGGACTTTTTTTGTTACCGTTACGCAATTTCTTGCAGTCTGCTGCCTCGAAGTCATCGGGGCAAAGAAATTTAACAATGTATAGCAAGAGTATCTATTCAGTAAAGGATAAATCCTTTTTTTTTTCTAGATGATAACTCACCATTAATGTGGGCATCATCTCATTGAAAGTTTTGTGCAGTATTGAGGGCGTCTCTGCTATTGATCAATGATATGGAATGCTGAATTGGAGGGCTTATTGTGCTCTTTGAAAGGAGCTGCCTCGAGATCGCTGGAGCAAGGAAAGGACAACCCGATGTTGTATACAATTGGCCCTAGGAGAGAGTGTGAGTTTCCATAGCTCAAGACGGTCATCCAAAATAAGCCCACTAAATAATTCATATACATATATGTATATTTAAACGTCATAGCAATTTATCCGAATAGAAAATCCACGTAAGAGGTATTTTGAAAGTTTTAAGAAAATTCCTTCAAATTCTAGAAAATTGGGTGCACCGGCGACTCTGTTTTTTTAATATATAACTGTAACGATTCTCCTTTGATCACATATAGACATAAAACAAGCCTTATTATCTTCAGTATGCAAGTGTCATTACTGTAAAATTTAGCAGTAGATTCTATAAGTCTGAAACAAAACTGAGTAATGCTCGAATCCTCGATCTCAGCTTTCCAGCAATCATATTGTACGTAGTTTTACTTACGTTAAAGGAAACGATTGACCTTAAAAACTGTCAGGCGAATGGCACCTCATGTTTTGGACCTTACAGCTTTCATAGAAATCACATCTGCACCGTCAAAGAAAATGTTTGAGAACCCCTGTGCTATAGCATCACGTTAACATTTTGGATAGTGGCTGATGCCAACAAAGTTTGCTGACAAGATTATGTAGAAAACTAAAAAGGTCTGTCTAGATATAATCCTGTTCTTGTCTGGTTTTCGATCTTTCGAGAAAGCTGTACAATTTTAGTTTCTTTAAGACATATAGTGGATATGAATTTTAAAAAAAGAAATAAATTTACCTCATTGAAATGGCATCCACAGATATAGTAAGTTCATTTTGAAAGTGAGGTTTTGCTAGTGTGATCGGATAACGTCCAAATTTAAAAAGAAAGGCAAGTTAAGGCATTTTCATAATGTCGCTCGTTTCTGCTCAGGCGAATCCAATGTGAATACTTAAATATATATCAAAACAATATAGGTTTGTGAACTTTTCCTTTTTCAGAACCACAAGAAGCCCTTAGTTATATATTCATAAATGAAAAATGGGAAACTCGTTCCCCACGCCCACCCCTTTGGAGCAATACCCCGGATTTTTCATTAAATGTATATGAGGTTTCGGTGTTCATGATTATTTTCCCCAGAAAAAAAATGAACCTTTAAAAATAAGAGTATCCTAGGCCACGTAACCAATCGGGTTGATAAAAAGGCAATACTGCCTTGCATAAGCTTTATTTCATTTCACGTTATGCCGATTATGATGCGTTTGTGATTATGTAAGTATGATTTGTATCATTGTATCTTTGGATGTAAACCATGTTTACCTAATAAATCCACTGATGAGGCAAAGAAGAAGAAAAAAGATTAATTATTCCTGGTTTTTACCTGGTATCTTCCTGACATGAGCTGGCTCCTCGTTGGAGAGCAGATCGGTTGGACGTAGTAGTTCTCTAGCTTAACACCCTCGCCTGCGAGCCTGTCCAGGTTCGGCGTCAGTATCGCAGACCCTTGCGATCGACCATGGTAGCCGACGTCGTTGAATCCGTAATCGTCAGCGAGAATGAACACGACATTGGGTAATTGTTCCGCGTACGAGGACCCAGATGTGACCAACGTCAGGTATACAATCACGACAAACTCACCGAGGTGCCGAACAGCCATGTTTTTGTTGTTGCAATGATTGAACTTATTAAACTAGTATCGCATGTTTGGTTCTAGATGAAGGCGGAAATCTATAAGCTGTCTTTACACTGGAACCAAAAATCGATCCTTATTACATTTGTCAAAAGTTGACTTCATTCGTCAAAAGTACTTAAATCGCCAAAATTCGAAATATCCACCTCTGGAGTGTTTTTGTGTATAACGCCGGCGGTTTGTTTCCGTATAAATGTCTCAAAACGTTGGTGAATACATTATATACAGGTCTTTTGTTTGTCACCCGATTTTCCTCTTCTCGCTTCCATGCGATCACGTGACATGCAGAGCAGCGACAAGTCGCGCATGAGCAGAACCCACCAAGAATCGAAGTGAGCAAACACGGAAGATTTATTACGGGTATTCCTGAGTGTAAATAGTGGTACAAAAAAAAAAACGAAAAAAAAAAAAAAAAAAACGAAAATGTTTCTGTGGTGAACTAGTTCGTACACAGTGTTATGTACACAGACAGATGGATATGGGAATAGACGAACATGTGGCATAAAATCCGTCCCGATTTGTTTGCTCTTACATGCCATATTTGGAATATAAAGGCATTTGAAGGGCAAGTCATTCTTTTCAGGGAACATGTTTTATCTGATGTTCTTCCACAGTTGCATAACAATAATAATTATTTTTCACCTCTTCCCATAACTCAACCTTCTCTTCAAGGATAATTGTATACAACAGCGGGTTGTCTTGGAAACCCCTTGTATGATAACTAATGGGGTCCAGGGGTCCGCCTTAGGGCTCCTAGATAGACATCGTGAACGATACAAAAATCTAATCCATCCCTTGAAATTTAATTTTAAATCGCACTGCCTCCATTATGTGCTCCTTTCAAAGAGCACAAAAAGCCCTCCGATTTAACATTCCATCTCATTCAGCAATAGCAGACATGCCCGATAGAAATTTTAATTTTCTCCTTGAAAGTCAAATAGTCCCTTTCATTTCATTTAAGAAATAACCTCCTTTTCTCTTTTAAAGGTATAGACCAGTTTTGGAAACGCACCCTCTCAAAAAGCGAATTGGATGCTCTAATTACCAATCAAGTGAAAGAAAATGTTTTGTCTAATACGAGACGATATGTAAAAAAAAAAAATCATTTCTATTTACATGTATATGTGCTTTCCTCAATACTGTCAAATTTAATGGGCATTCTGACAATTTTTCTGAGAGTTCAAGAGACCTACATTGTAAGTCTCGTGGGCTGTTTATATAATCCCAGCTAAATCAAAAGCAGGATTTCTTTAGTGATCTTTCTTTGATTATGTTGACATATTTGCCTTTACTATGACAAGATTTTACTAAGCGGACATATGGAGGGGGAGGGTTTCAAATAATACTTAATTGTGTGTGTGTGCGGGGGGGGGGGGAGGAACACTGCCATGCCCACATTTTCTAAAACATCAGTGCAGCACGAGCTTGTTTTGAGTAATGCGAGTATATTGCGAGTGTAAGTGAGTTCACCTCGAGCTACAACGAATCAGTGATTTTTTTTTGGGGGGGGGGGAAGGGGGTGGGGGGAAGGGGGGTGGGGGCAAATGCTACGTTTGAAAAGGGACATTTTCCTTTTTAAGCACTTCCTCTTCCCCTTCTAATACGTGCTTTTTGTCGGCTCTGATATGTGCGTCTATTTTGACGCGTGTCCCCTTGTCATTAATTACTATTTCCTTCTGGTAAATGCCCCTTCCCCCCTCCCTTTTTTTTAATAACAGCCCCTTCCACTTTTCATAAATACTCCTTTTCAACTCTGATAAATGCCCCTATTAAAATCTGATAGGTGCCCCCTTACCTTCGACAGATGTCCCTTTTCCTTTGTCATAAGTACCTTTTTCATCTCTGGTGAGTGCCCTGTTTCAGGTTCGAGGTTTGTTATGACATGTGTCCCTTTTCTTTTTGAAAAGTCCCCTTTTCCTTTTTCAATAACATACGCCCCTATAGAGTGAGTTAGAGCAAATTTTTCCTAGATTGTCCCCAAAGCTCGCTCGCATTTATAATTGGTATAATTGTGTTAATTATGAAATATATTTTCAGTTTTTCATGATTGAATTGTGCTTAAAACCAATCAGGATTTTTTTCTTCTCATTCTCAAACAGTATATTGCACCATGTAAAGAGTGAAACAAATATTGAAATCATCCCTGACAATGCAATCACAATCATAACAATTTAGGGGTATATAGGCATACCAATGTCTAAATATGGTAGATTTACATTTCGATGTTTCCCTTTGTAGGTGTCCCTTATATTCCAGAAAATATTTTAATGGTGCCCCCCCCCCATTTTGGAAAATGCTCCACCGCGCTTGTTTGTGCTTAATCTTTCTTTAAATTTAGCTTTGATTCAACTCTTACTCCCGATCGTGTATCGTCGAGTCAAAATAATGAAAGATCCTTGATTATTTAAGTGAGGTATATAATTAACAATATTAAACGATATTTGGTTTTTGAACCTGGCAGCCCATAGACTGAATTACATGACAAAAATGATTTTATTTGCACATCAATGTTGTAACAATTATCATACAGTGTGAGAACGTGATGTTTTCAAGATGATTTTGTTAATATTTCACTGTATACATGGCTCAAAACTCTGGCTTACTTGTTATTCCTAGGGTTAAAACAAAGTAGGGGGGGGGGGACCTTCGCTCATGCTGGGCCTTCATTATGGTATACTCTTCCTCAATGGATAACAAAAAAAGCAGTTCTGGTGAAGTGTTAACAAATAATCTTAAGAAATATCTGTTTAATTTAGTCTATAATTGATTACCACTACATGTCCTTACCTTTTCTATTGCACTTTTGTATAATGTTTATCATGTATTTCATCTTTCGCACAAGCTGCGCCTTGAGCATTTGATTGTCAAGTGGATTTGACGCCATACAAATCTGATGAATTATTATTATTATTATTAGAACATCAACAAATAAAAACAATACGGCAATCACAATAATTAAGTCAGTATTCTTAAAACAGGATCAAGCTATGTTCACATATTGCACTGAGAGATATAGCAAAAAAGGAGAGTAGAAGGAAAATGGGAGAAAAGGAGAGTTAGAGAAGAGGAAATCGAGAGGAGGATAGTAGAAAGAACGAAGTAAAATGTAAGAAACAGGTAACCCTGAGAGTATTAGAAGGGGTGGGGGAGAAAGAGGGAGAGAGAGAATTAGAGGAAGTATAATTACTGTGTATGCAAAATTACAGTTCATATAGTACCACATTTAATGTAACTCATACAGATTAAAACAGTTAAAATACAATAAATGAAGTTATACTTTTAAGGAAATGGGAATGCGCATGCGGAAATTGTGAGTAATGCGTAAAACTATCAAAATATCACACTAAAGATTTAAACATACTATATTTCAAAACCAGACTTTGAACATGTAAATTCAATCAGAAAAGGGAGGAGTCGAAATGAAAAAAGGGAAGAAAAAGGCAAGGGATAGAGAGAGAAGAATGAGAGAGAGAGGGGGATGGGAGGGGGATAAGGAGTAGGTATAGAGTAGGTATATAGGTATATATAGGCGTATGCGAGAGAGAGAGATAAAGAGTTATGAGGGAGGGAAAGAGCGAGAGAGAGGAAGAGAGAGAGAGAGAGAGGGGGGGGGGGGGGAGGGGGAGGGGGAGGGACGTCATGTGGAAAAACAAAGTTGAAAACAAGTTTTTCATAATTAAAACCACTTCAACCATTTGAACACAACACAAGATTCGGAGCAGTTACATATATTAAACAAAAATATTGGTATTTATTTTGCAATTTGCTGTTGAATATGAGAGCAGAAATTAGCGCAACAAGCGTGAACATACACACACATGTACACACAACACCCATCGACAAAACAATTGCAGTACATTATCATCATCAGTACAGTACATTACGTACTTATAGGTTAAAAATACAGTCCAGGCTCTCTGCGAGCGGTTTCATTGGAATTATTCGAGAAATTCCCCTCGCTAGCGTGAAGAAAAAAATACACGTACCGCTTAGGCATTGTTGGCTATATAGAGGGCGCAAGTAGCTACAAGTAGTGCAGTCTCGTTCTAAGCCTATGAAAGCTCATAACCTAAGAGTAGTGCTTGTGTTCATTTTTATTTTTTTTAATTTCTTCCTTTCTTTGTTTCCCTTTTTGAGTATTACAAGCTCTGTTTTTAAGTAAATTTGTCAATTTCCTTTAAAATTCGACTCAATTTATGATAATATTATGCCTATATATTAATGTATCCTTAAATGCTTTAATCACTTATCGACATTTAATATTGTAAAGTTAAAATTGGTTTCTTTCTCTGTGTTTTATTGCAAATTTCATTTGGTATTTAATTAATGTAAGCACTTTGTTCATGTTGTTATTCAGTTATGGAATTAGAACTATTCAAAATTGATTTGATTTGAATATATCATTCATTTTCTGAGATGTCAGAAGAATAAATTATGAATGTTTAAGTGATGTTTTTCTTTTATTTTAAATTAATTACGGTACTACCCTAAAACCCTACTCAAATTTAGAATTTGTGCGTGAAAAAGGAAATTTGGAATGCACCGTTATTGTTTTAACTCAATCGTGCATGAATTATGAATGATAATGTATGCATTACAATGAGAGAAAAGAAGAAGGGCTTTCCATCCATGTATATCCCAACAGGTACATTATTCATTAGAATTGTAAATTCATGCCTTGAAAGCCGGTTTGGTGTTTCTTTCTTGGATATGCTTGTATATATATATCATGAGATTGGAAGAAAAACAAACTAAAAATGTTGCCAAGCGGACACAAGTTGAAAATATGGAGGTCTAACTGAAAATCAAGCCATGAAAGTAGCTGAAACCAGTGCATGCAGACGACTTGTTAAATATGACGTTAAAAAATCAAGCATAAAAGGCAAGATTACTTAAGAAAAATCTATACAAAAAATAGTGAAACATCTTTACATTACGAGAGAATAAATAGCCCCTGCAATGTCCATGAGAAATTCATCACAAATCTATATTGAAATACAATTTTATTCAAAATAACTCATAAAAACGAACTTTTAAACGGTTGATATATATATATATATATACACCTAAATGATAAGAATGGCAACAAACATAATAAACATTACAGTAGGAATGAACATAGAATAAATAACGGTACATTCTTAACTTAAAATTAATTACATGTTGGGGGGGGGGGGGGGGTTAAGAAAGTCCTAACGCCTTTTTCGGGATAATCCCCAAGCGAGATTGGGATAAGATAATATTAATCTAGGAGCTATACGATTAATTAGGCCAAATTAGGTAACATTACAATGAAAACAACAACTACAACACAAGCACTAAGAAGCAACAACATCCCCAAAATCTAATTATTTGGGACACGTCCAAGTTGCCATATATAAACATTATTTTGAGATTGAGAGAACAGCTCCAGTTTTAAAAGCATATTAAAGGGAGTGTATCATGGCAAATACTAGTGAACGTCATCTACGTCTTCTTTTGCACGTAAACGAATGGACTTCATTAGGGATTTTTAGATTTGCACAACGACAACGTGGATTCCTACGATCGACGTCCTTTTAATGCACTGCCTTGAATGGACGTTACACGTATCAGTCCACGCAAATCTAAAAGTCCCTATTAACTGGGTCAGCGCAAACTAGCGTTCACGAAACAGACCGAAGTTCTCCTCACGCTTCGGGTTCGCGTATGTTGCACGCACGTGAATGCTGCGGTCGCGTCGTCCGTAGTCGTATTATACCTGATTGGCCCCGGGTAGGGCCACGGGAAAGACACATAGTCTCGTCATGACACACTCCCTTTAAGCAGCTAAGTTTTCATGAATGAATGAGAGTGGTTGTAATATGGTGAAAGGGTTGTAATATGGTGAAAACTTTTAAAAACTTGGTTGTAGAATTTGATATCCTAATGAGTGACCAGCGCAAGTATGATTCCCTGATGAATGCGTTATACTTAGATTGGTTTATTAATCATCAAGATGTTCATGGGAATATTTTTGATAAGATTGTCTTTGAGTTGCTGAGGAAGTTGAAAGTGCCTAGGTATGCTTTTTCGATACTACGTAGCAAAGATAAACCATTACAGGCAAAGATTGGTAATAAGTGGAAAGAGTGGCTTGGTTTGGATAGAGATGAAATTGAAGGGTCTGTTTTACACAAAAATAATTTCAAATGCACTATAGAAACTCAGTTAAGGTCTTTTTATTTTAAAATATTTCATAATGCCATAGCCCTAAACTCATTTTTATATAAAATTGGAAGAAGGGATAGTCCTTTGTGTTACTTCTGCCAGGAGCTTCCTGAAACCTTGATTCATATATTTTGTAAATGCACAGCAGTTGCTCCAATATGGAAAAAGCATAAAGATTATATTGATAATATGACGAAGGAGACAACACTGTACTTGGGTTCGCTCATATATTTAGTATTGATATCGGTGGCAGGCATGATGTATGTATTCATTTCTTTTATTCCTGTACCTCAATTTTTATATCATTCGATGTAAATTTCAAGAGGTAGAATTACATTTCCAGGGTTTCCTTTCTTTTGTAAAAATGAAACAGAAAATTGAATGTGAATAGGAGAGAAGAAAGGTAAACTGAGCTCCCATTTTAGTAAATGGTCACTTTATTTCTTGTAGATTTTTTTTCCCCTAGCATTTCATGAATTTTCTACTTCCTTATTGTCAATTATGTTATTCTATTGTTAATGTTACTGTATTTCAGTGGAGCCTCTCCGTGACGGATCCGGTCTCGGTTTTCTTACATGAAATATAACCTTGATGCATGTCAGGATGAGCCTTACGTTTAACTGGCTAGAGTGAGGCATTTGTGTTGTGCCGTTTTATGTTGTGTTGTCCTGTTATGTGCCGTGTTATGTATACATCAATTTACTTTATTGATATATATTGAAGAAAAAAAAAGTTTTCATGAATGCAGCCATTAACACATTTTGTTTTTTTGACTGTATGGCTGAATGTCATGGATATTGATGTATGTATTTATTCTTTCTTCACTTGTTTTTGTGGGAGAAATTCACAAAGCACGGTATTTCTTTAATTTTGTACCATATTTTTGTTTCAAGAGGATTTAAAAATAGAATTTAATTTAACATTTTAATACATGATTAATCTAAGTGATATCTCTTCTGAAGATGAACACGATTTCACAATCTGCAAATATAACAGAAATAAGTAGTTGGCTTACATATTCAGGTCATTAAAGGTAATACAAAATTTTGGGAAATTTTGAAAATTGGTGGATAGTGATTCTTTACAATTTGTTGAATATATGGGGATGCCCCTGTGGATGTATTATAAGCACTAGAAAATTTAGCCCCTAAAACAATTCTACTTTCGAGAAAAATCGAATATAAAAATGTACCGGTGCTCCCTGGGTAAATTTTGATAAATTTCACATAGCGCCTTCGGCCGTACAATGGTAGCTGCAACCATGACAATCTCAGAATATGTAGTTGTGATATATAGTTATCATACGGGAATAGTTAATCAGTCGATTTTAGTCAAGAAAAATTGTTTATAGCTTAATTAATATCTAGACCTTTAGAGGGAGCTATACAACATTAAGAGTTTACTATTTACAATTTCATAATTTTAGACTCGATTTCAACCGCGACAACGATCACTGAATATTGTAGGATCGCATATGCTTCAAATATGTTCATTTGGACCTAATTCGTGACCCCATACCAAAACTTTGTATTACCTTTAATGAAAAGAAGGAACTACAGCGGCCTCACTTCTGATCCTTGGACAACTCCTATATTAATATCACACATCTTTCATTTATAATTGCGTACAAAATACAAACTGATTGCTGTCACTGAAGTAATTTTTATGCCATGTTAGCGTTATCCCGTGGATACCATGACGATAAATATCGTAATTTTTTTTATGGTTAATACAATTGAACGCTTTATATAATAACCAAGTTCTTTCAATTCAATTCAATTCAATTCAATTAATTTTATTTCGCAATATATAAAATCAAAGTATACAAGGTAACAGTAAATTTGAATACATTTACAAAGGTTATATGCGGGGCTTTCCGTGAAGGTTGCAAAAACCTGTAAAATTGGATCATCAATAATAGAAATACAAAATATTAAAAGCACACAACAAAACATTAAGTAAAATAAGCAAAGTAAAAACACTTCAACTGTCTTTAATACGAGAGAAAGTGAAGTAAAAACAAATATATATATAAAGGGGGGAAAAGAAATACAAAACATTATTAGCACACAACAATAAATTAAGTAAAATAAGCAAAGTACAGACACTTTAACTATCTATAATACGTGAGAAAGTGAAATAGAAGAAAACAATATATATATATAAAGGGGGCAATAAAAAACAACAATGAAAGGGGTTCAGATAAAACAAAATGAACAACTGTGATGATTAATAACTATTTAGTAATAAGATTTTATATTGTTTTCTAAAGGAAGATGTGAATTGTGATTTCGTTATTACTTGGGGAATCATATTCCACTGTTTAGGACCTAGATAACTTTTTGATTTAGCTTTATAACTAGACTTAACAGACCATAAATGGAATTTGTTGCAAAATCGGGTATTATAATTTTGAATTTGACTATTATATTGAAAGAGGTCTGAAATAAACATTTGGTATCTTAATTTTAAATTTAAGAGGAGCCATATTTGTCGAATTACCGTGTTTAAAATCGAAATGTAGAAACCATTAATATATTTTACACCAATTTTTTTCTACAAATAATTCTGCATTAATTTGTATTATATATATATAACTGTCTTCTAGTTTGTAAGGCAATACCTCCATTCATCTCATTTCTTGTGAATTGGAACAACTTCAGATTTTTTTTTTTTAGTTCAGGAAACACACGTTCTTCCAAATACAAGAGTATTGTAAATTTCATATCAGTATGAGTGTACAATCATTGCATATGTTCAAACAAACCTGTCGTAGATTCAAATAATTCTGTCATTAGAAAGAAAGAACAAGTTTCTCATGATTTAAATTCTCTGGTGGAACATAAATGAACTCAAGAAACTTTGTTTGAACAGGGAACAAGCTAGCAATACTTAGATATCTCCAATAATTAAATTTCCCCTCTTATTTCTAGTTTAAACTGAGTGTAGAAAGTACTCATAGTATGTTCTAATCAAACCTTACAATAATTTTGAAAATGAAATAATAGTTATAAATGAAATTCCATTTTTAACTCTTCTTTTTAACAGACTCTTCCGTGATGTCTAGGTCAATTAGATTAATTTGGCGTTGTTAACCCATTGTTTACTGGAACCTGGTGGTCCCTGTGTTAAGTCTATGGGAATTAGAGAATTCAGTAGTCAACAGGTTAATAACAACTAACTTTGTTATTTGTTATAGACAGGGATACTTGTTGTAATGTAATATTACTTGTTGTCGGTCTTGTTAGCCGATGTGTTTAAATAGTGGGGTAGTTACCGCAAGATGCATTAGTTGACCTAAGATTTCCTGGCACGGGGCGGAGGGAAATTTCGAAATGTCATCTGGATTTTGGAGTGCCATTTTGCTACGAAATTATCTGACAAATCAATTAAATAAGCCCTTGCTTCATATTTGTCTTCTTCCTGTTTACTTTCCCATTTTATCTGTCCTTTTCTGTGCATTCCTTTTCTCCATCCCCATATTTTTTGTTTTCTTCTTCTCATTGTCTGCTTACCATATTTCCCAATTGTTTGGTGAAGTGTGTGTGTGTGTGTGTGGGGGGGGGGGGGCACGTGTCCCATTTGCCCCCTTTATCTGGCATTTGCATGCAGTGTAAATTTTTAAGAATGTTATGTATCTAATTATATATATATATATATCAGGAGAGGGGGTCCTAAAAGAACCACTATCGATTGAAGCAGTTTCAGCCTAAATTTGCTATGGATTTACTTCCATGGCCCCCATGAACCACCACGCAAAGCCGGATCCGCTTCCAAATCCTCATCCGGATACCGCATGGGAACCGAACCTTCGTAATACTCCTCTAATTTCTGTACAAGCTCGTTGACCACATCCGGATACTTTTCTGAAAGATCGGTTTGCTCCAGAGGGTCGGCGGTTATGTTGAAGAGCCATACCTTTTGGTTCGGTTTCTCTGTCGGATATATCGTGTCGAGTCCGGATTCGGGTGGTGGCATCCACTTGTTGTGTGTCGTTACTATTGTCACAAAGAGAGGTTTGGATAGAGAAAAGAATGTTTGTAATGTCGACAACGACGACAACAACAATTATAAAAACAAGGATATAGATAAAAATGATGATTCTCAAAAGGTACAGATACAAATAATAATACAAAAGTAATGATGATGATGATGATGATGTCTCCAAAACTACTAGTAGTAGCAGTAGTAGAAGTAGTAGTAGTATTAGTAGAAATAGTAGCACAATGTTGTAATAGTAAATGTACAGCAGTATAAGTAGTAGTAGTAGTAGTAGTAGAAATAGTAGCACAATGTTGTGATAGTAAATGTTAAGCAGTATAAGTAGTTGTTGTAGTAGTAGTAATAGTGGTTCCGTAGTAGAAGTAGTAGAAGTATTGGTGTTGGAAGTAGGATAGTAGTAGTAGTAGTAGTAGTAGTAGTAGTAGTAGTCGCATTATCATTATTAGTACTGCTCTTAGTAGTAGCCGTAGGCGCAGTCTGACGAGAGCTCAAGTTTACCTTTAATATTACGAAAATGTTCGAATAACTTTAAGATAATTTTGACTCACCGTCATAGTCTGCGCCCGTCTTTATTTTCCAGTCTCCAACGCGTAGCGCAGCTCTTATTGATGTATCAAATTTCTCGTTTGCAGGTCGCTTTTTCTTCAGGTCGATATTGTGCAAGATTTCTGTTCGAGGGGACGAAGCTGTACCACTGAAAAATTACAAATGCAAAAGTAACATATTTTATTCACATATAAGAATTCCCTTGTCTTAAACCCTTTGCTCTTTCTTTTTCTTTTTTCCCTTTTTTAAACAATTCATACATTTTGTATGTAAGCATAATGCAGACATTTCCTCGGCCTGTTGTAGAGAAATAAACTAAGCTGTTCAAAGGACACTGTTACAAAAGAGAGGAAGTTGCGTTTTTCAAAGAATCGTAATTCCGAAAAAAAATGAAATGGGGTTTATCATTCCTAAAATAGAATAAGAGTTTGTTGTTCCGAAAATTCAACCAGGGATGTTCACAATTTTCGGACTTATGAACCCGATTTAATTTGTCGGAATTACGAACCTTACCTCCTTTTGAGAAATACTAATGTGGTGAATCTTAACAAGGTCAACGGCCAAAGGTCACGGTGATTAGCACCCTTTTCTTAAAGAGACCGTGAATGCATTCATTAATAATGATGACGATGATAATAAAACAAATAGTAACACAAATGTAATGAGAAGAAGAATTAAAATACGCATTTGGAACTAGTTGAAGAAAAGAATTGAACAAAATACTTTTTTTTTTTTAACTGGAGCTTTTATCGAAAGAGTACATGATAACAGATTCATATAGACCATCAGAAATCCAGTAACTGCTATGAGTTAAAGTAAAATGATTCGCTAGATTCACAAAAAAGTAGAGGGAAAAAGAGTGCCTGATGGCTAGGTACCTGATAGAGTTCCACACATCGAAGCCGTCCAAGGGTTTGGTTCCATTCAACGCTCCACCTGCAATACCTGCTACAATAGTCGGTAGCCAGTCGCTCACATGCATCAAGTCATGATTGACCGTTCCTTTGACTGATGTTGGTAGAAGCGGACTGTGTACGAACCCTACTCCATGAATCCCTCCTTCCCACATGTTTCCTTTGCTTCCCCGTAGTGGCCAATTGTTGGCACCGCTTTGGATTGGACCACCGTTATCTGATCAAGAACATAACAGGAAAACTAAATTAAATAGGTGATATGTATAGCTAGGTACGTAATAATAATAATAATAATAATAATCTTTTAAAGTCCACTCCAAATTAGTTAAACCGAAATGGAAATTCTTTTTGCCCAATTGATCGTGAGCCCGGCAGCCACTGAGCAGCGCCAGATGGCCGTTGCTATATCCCTTATTGTTGAACGCCAAACAAGGTAGCAGCAACTCCCGTCTTTTAACGTCTTTTGGTGTGACGCGGCCGGGGTTCGAACCCACGACCTCCCGGTTTTGAGGCGGACGCTCTACTGACTGGGCCAACACACCTAATTAGTGATGTGCATTCACACACTGCAAAACAATAATATTCATTTCTACATTATCCGTACTATCCTGCTGAAATTCTCTCTCTGCCGCAGAGGGCAGTACCGGCCATGAGTATATTTGGCAAAGGCACTTCCGGTTCCCATGCAAATACAATGCCTTGGCTCATGGACTGGCAACTCCGTTGTAGAAATAATAGTTACGGAACCAATAAAATATAAATAACAAGTTATGATGGTGCCTACATATATCTCATCAAACCATCGGGGGAGTTTATGAAACCTGAACGATAAATTAGTAAATTAAAGAATTAGTTGACACCGCTATGGAAGCCGAAAAAACATTGTCTTAGCGTCTTCCCGGGTATATCTGTGCATGTGTTAACTAACCTCTCTATTTTGTGGGAGAAAGGTCGTCATCTACTGTCGAACATGATATTTGCGGTAGGGTCAATTATTGTTCAGCGATTTTGTAAAAATCGTTTACTTGTATCTTTGATATTTGATGTTTAAGTGTTGACATTAGTTGTAATGTGTATAAATAAAGTTCTGTCAATCTCCGAGAATGGAATTTGAAAATGCCTAAACTAATCACTTGATTATTCAAACATATTTGTGGCTTTCACCCAGTAAATGAGATCGATTGATCGATCTGTAATTGAAAAAGAAGTCAGAATTTTTTTTGGAAACGGCGGGACTTGAACCTCCATCTACTGCTAGCCGGGCAGCGACTCTACCACCAGGCCATCACTGGTCCACGGCACAGTTACGATGAACTAGTCTAGAAACAAATACCCAATCATTTGATGTTCTTAACATTATTTTTCCTTTGTTGTTAAATTGCTGTAATAAAGTGTACTGTCTCTTTAAGCAATAGATAGCTACGAACCTACTGGAAAAACTAAACAAATAACAATTTTTGTTTGAGAAACAATTATTTTGAACTTCTAGATTTGTTGCCAATTTAAGAGTTTTAAAGCATATTTTCCTTTTGTTCTTCGTCTTAAAATGAAATTATGGTCACGCAGCATAGATAGACAAGGTGTACATCTTTAAATGAAAACATGCCCTTTCTACTCATCAGGGAGGTGTTTCAAAAAGATCCAAAGTCAAACCTAACTCTAAGTTGGACTTAAATATTATGGAAAGCCATTTGTAGCCTTGAAATAATATATATTCAGAAGCAAAAATTCAATTATTTTATACTTTTTATATATAATTTCCCCATCAAGAACATGAAATCTCCTTGATGATAGAAAACACGAATGATTTGAATCAACATTTTATGCCTTTTAAAATAACTTTTACAAAATATGTTCATAGATGCTAACGGCTGTACATAATTGTTAAGTCCAACTCAGAGATAATTTCAACTTAGGATCTTTGTGAAACACCCCCTTTTTAGTTGTTGTTGTTTGGGCTCTGAAGAAAAAAACGATATTGAGCCAAATCACAAAATACGAAATAAGTATCTGGATAGGGTCAAAAAGTAAATGGAAATACGTGCATTTCTTCACCTGTTGAGAATATTATGATGGTATTATCGTAAAGACCAGCGTCCTTGAGAGCTCTTGTGACGTTTCCTATACCTTCATCCATACAAGATACCATACCAGCATAGGTACGTCTGTTTTCGTCGGCGATGTTCTTGTATGGGTCCATGTATCTGTCAGGTACTTGCAAAGGTAGGTGTACAGCTTGATATGCCAGGTACATGAAGAGTGGCTTTAAGGTACAAATAGAAGAGAGGGAAAAAGGACAAAAGAAAGAATAACTATAATGCTAAATTAATCCATAGAAATATGTTTCTTGAAAGGTGCCTAAGTTCTGAGATGGGGAGACTTTTCTACCACCTACAGTAATTACTGTACATGAACAATGGCTTTAAGGTAAAAACACTAAACGAGAAAAAAATGAAAAAGAACGAATCAAATTAATGCTCAAATAATCCGTAGAAACATGTTCTCCTGCAAACTAGCTTAGCTCGAAGACATAAAGATTTTCTTATCCTACTAAAGTAAGTCAGATACAGGAAGAGTGCCTTATTAAGATGAAGTTGAGTTCTGGTCGTGCGATTGCATTGTGAAAGAAACGGTGTGGAATCGACCAGAAAAGGTTGATCATCTAGCATATAAGAATTTGTGTGTATTGCAAGGTTCTGGAATCACCAAAATGATAAGAACTTTGGCCAAGTCTTGGTAAAGTTACAAACACTGTACACAGAAAGATGAATATAGGACTACACGAACACGTGGCGTATGTTACGATGTTACATGACATATTTAGAATAGGAAGGCATTTGAAGAGCCATGCTTTTCAGGGAATATGTCTTATCTGATGTTCTTCCACACTTGCATACTAAGAATGATAACGCTCACAAATTATTTGTCATCTCTTCCCAGAACTCAACCTTCTCTTTAAGATTTACTTTTAAATAGAGTGTGCCAAACACCTTTCAAAAAGTTTGTGTTAGAAAGCATGTATAAAACCAACTTTAACAAAAAATCACTCTTAATTTATGGGCTAGGAGAATGAAGAAAATTCAGAAAAACTGCCCTTCATTCTCCTAGCCCATAAATTAAGAGTGATTTTTTGTTAAAGTTGGTTTTAAATGAAAATACTGAAGCAGACGAGTAAGCTTAAATTTTGAAGAAGAAAAAAATGGAAAAAGATAGTTTTTAGGAAACGAGTTCTTGAAATACTGTCCTATTCCAGATTCAGTCCGTTCTTTGTTTTTATAACGTGGACCGCCACGTGTGACATCCTTTTAAGGTAATGTGACGTCTTTTTTAAGGCACTGCCGGGCACGACCCAGTGCCTTAACACAATGTCACACGCGGCAGTCCACGCTCTCGGCGTGTAAATCTAAAAGTCCCGATTATGTCCACGTAAACGTACCTTTGTCTTGTCATGCCTCTCTATGGCATCAATTGTTTTATTCGTGAAGAGATGGGTGGAATACTGTCCTTCGTAATCGAAGACCGGTGTCTTGTTCGCGTGTAGGTCGTGTCCTGATAGGGTCTTGGTACTGCCATCGTCTGCATTGTAGACCTCGCAGTGGCCCGAGTGCGTGTAGTGGTCCTCACCTCCTACCAGGAACCCTGATCAAAAAGAAAGAAGAAAAAAAAAGGTCGATGGTGGTGGTTATTTAACTGACTGTTAAGAAAGTATAAATGCTTGTAAGTAAGCAACCAGACGGCCGACTGCTTTAGGTCCTCTCCGAGGGACCTGGTAATGAGGATTAATACCTTACCAAAGGGCACTAGCGCATCGCCTTGGTTTCGAACCCGGGTCACCGGATTACGAGACCACTGCTCTGCCGACTGAGCTATCGCGCCTCAGTGATAAGACAGTGAAACCTGGGGGGGGGGGGGGGGCATTTCAGAAAACTTGTCATCCGTGACAAATGACAGTTTTTGTTATAAGCTACTGAAATCCTTGCTGCTGATTTGTTACCAACAGATTTGTCACTGATTTGTGTCATTTGTCATTGGAAAAATGCTTTGTGAAACGGGTCCCTGTATATAAAAACCGCTCAAGGGAGACACGAAATGTGGTCTTTATAGGCAGGTGGTCAGTGGTCTTTATGTACAGGTTCTTTTAGCATAATTTATGTTTATATAATTAATTACTTTCGATGGAAACAGAAAATGTGGTCTTTATAGACAGGTGGTCTGTCTATACAGGTTGATGCTAAAGCACGTTTGACTCTAGCTGTTACTTATCATTATACCATTGCAATTTGTTTTAGTGTTATTATTATAATTTAATTATAGTATTACTATTATTGTTTGTTGTATTGTTATTGTAAGTATTGTTAGCATAATTATTATTATTTCAATCATTAATGTTCTCATGTTGCTATTGTTATTATCAGCCATGTTATTTTTATCACAATAATAATCAACACTATAATAGTAGTAATACTAATAATAATACTAATAACAATCATAGCTATTATTTCTAAGATTATTACTATCCTCATTATTGGTTTTATTATTATAAATATTATAGCCTATCATTAATATTATTACTGTTATTTGTTTTGGGGATAAATTATCAGTAGTATTATCATTATCAATACATGTGCATTTCTGTTGTAATCATCATTTTAGTAGTAGTCACTATGAACATGGCGGACAAAGAAAGAAGACAATTAAAGTATACAGTTCCTCATTCTACCCTCAGCAATTGCTGTGATGGACAAAGGAACATCCCTTCATTGCTATTATGTAAAGATGTGTAGAACAAGTGTCACATGCATATTCATCTGTTCTACTTAGTTTACATAATAGCAGTGGAGGGATGTTCCTTTGTCTACCACACGTGGAGGGTAGAATGAGGAACTGTGTATTTTGTCCTCTTTCTTTGTCCATCATGTTCATAGTGAGTAGTATAGTAGTATATTTATTCTGATTACTAATTTAGATAAGCCCTTACCAAAGAAAGAATCGAAGCCCCTTTCGGTGGGCGTGCAAGCATCCAAGTAGAAGCCGATATGCCATTTACCGACCATGTTGGTGGCGTATCCACTTTCCTTAAGTTTCTGCGGGAGCGTGACTTCATCCAACGGGAGGCAGTTCGGCTGGGCATGTCTGATCACGCCGTGTTGGAGACCCGTGTGGATCTAGTAGAGAATATATAAGACATGGAGACATTATAGGCGTTGTGGCGTGCGCCTGTAATCCACTGCTAACGAATACGCAGGTTCGAAACTGAGTCACGTCTTTTGGATGGTGACGTTTAAAGGTCGGTCCCCAGAGGTAAATAATCATATCTGATTGATACACGTCTGTAAAAACCCAATACACACACACACACCACATGAAGAAACTATGTCCCTCATCATCGTGGACAATACCGTGTGAGCATGGACCTATTACGGATGGAAATTCAACGTGATTCTTCCTTTGATCCAATGATAGTCGCCGCCTTTTGATTATGTGCATCTTAATGAGAACATTCAGCTGTTTTAACTATAACGACTGCGTAAGCATTTTCGGTCATTGACAAAGGAGCAGTTTCCCTCTCTTGGGTTTTGTTTGGATGGTGTGCTATGTAAGAGTGTGTCTTAAATGAAAGCATCCCCAATGGGGAGCAGCAAAGTTGAAAAGCAGACGATTTTGGTGATATAAAATGTATTATTACTGATTCGCACACTTTCGCACATCCCCATGACCTTATAAAACAATTAGAAGGCCATGATCTTTATAAGCCCTGTGCGTTGTAACTCTGGAATATTATGGGGAAAACGGGATTTTAAATCACAAACAATCCAAACAAAACCTATCTGGTAATATCAACATGTTTTTCAAAAATAGAACACAGTACACGGAACAACAATTTCCAATTATTAACCAGAACTGCACATCGATTTCCCATGATTTAAGCGGTTAATTATCTTCTGCGCATGTAGATTACCATGTTTAAAATCACTATCTTAATTCTGTCCCGGCTTGTTGGCGGTGACCATCATGAGATCAAAGGGAAGAAACATGTACAGAATGTTATTGAGAAGACATTGACGGAGACAATCACAATAAATTCTTTAAGAAAACGATGAATGTCCATTCGTAATAGGTCCATGGTGTGAGTAAATAAAAAGTTTACACCTAGAACGTTGCTAATTATTAAAAAAACATCTATAAACAGTAAATTATTATATATCTTATGAAAGAGTGTTCTATCCCAAATCATTCAGTATCATTTTTGTGTGGCATATGTGTTCAAGCTTAGATAAACAGGAGGCATTGTTTGCGAGGGTGCGTATCGACTTGCGCCAAAGTTGCTTATGAGACATAGTTATTTGAAAAGCTCGGTTCCTAAAATGCTTCCGTTTTCATTACCGATTGAAGGGTGTCTCATGACTCTGTGTTGGATACCTGTGTGGATCTGGTAAGAAATGCATCACTATAAAAAAGACGCAGAGACATGTAGAGAAACAATATCCTCCATATTTGTGGACAATATTTTAAGAGCTCATTCCCAAAATGATTTTTTTTGTTTCCTACAAAGAATTTATTCTTATTCGTCTACATCAATATTTTCATTTCCTTGGTAATGAAAAAAATGTTGATAATATCCATAGTAAGTTGGCAAATAAACTAATGAGGCCATGAAATAAATCTGGTGAAATACCCCATTTCAGGTTAGGTCCACGAGAAGCTACATTTACAACTGACCAATTAGAGAGCAGCGTGACATGTGCATACATGTTCACGCCCTGAGCTTCAATATTCCACGCCATCAGAGGGCGGTCTACTGCAATGTGGGCGTAACCAGGGGCACTTCTGGAAGAATTTATAATCAATGCGAGAAATAAAACCGCAACAAAAAGTAAGTCCCCCCCCCCTCCACCCACGGAGCATGCACTCCTCATAATTTCTGAACCGCAAGCTTTTGAACACTTTTACCTAAAAGGGACTGTGTTCGTGCCCCTCCATTAATGAGGGGAAAAAAGAGAAGAAAAGAAGAAATGGGAAAGGGAAAGGAAAAGGAAGATGTAACGACGTCCTCAGCCGAAGACTCTTCTAAAGACTAGGGGGTACTTTTTGTTGGGACCTAACAGATATGACAAAGAAACATGACTTCCGTGTATTTGGTAATTGGCATCATTCAGTTCAAGATTAACGTACACATTGAAAGTAAGTTTCCAAAGTTACAATAATAGGGACTTTAGATTTGCACGTTGACAGCTTTGACTGCAATATATGACGTCATTGTAAGGCTCTGCGCATGAGTAACGTCGTCTCAGTCGGCGATCGAGAATGCGTCAACCTTGATTTTCCTAAATCTAGTACGGTACTAGTATATGCCGCGTGCGCATAAAATATACATTTCCTCAGGTAGACAAAGGAACATCCCTTCCCTGCTATTATGTAAAAATGTGTAGAACAGGTGTCACATGCATATTCACCTGTTCTACACATTTTTACATAATAGCAGTGAAGGGATGTTCTACTATGTAGCAATAGGCCATTTTCGTAATCCTAACTGCATACATTAGTTGTTGCCAGGTTGGACAAACATTATGACTTGACCTACCTAGCAACACTTAATATATGCAGTTGTATTCTGACTATTAAAATACCATTATTTCTATCAGGTGAATGAAATAATTTGTACTGAGGCACTTCACAAAAACCTATGCATTAAATTTAGTTACATTACGAAAATGGCCTATTGTTGAGGGTAGAATGAGGAACAGTATATTTTGTCCTCTTTCTTTGTCTGTCATGTTCATAGTGTTACTTCCTGCATGCATGTATATCGTCAAGTGCAATCTAAAAGATTTCTAATTGTAGTCAACATGGGCAGTTGAGTACGTTGACACGCATGATCAGTCGGCGTTCGTCGTGTTCTCGTCCACTCAATCTAAAAGTCCCTATTATTTACATAAGTGACAGCTTCCAATTATATAATTCCAAGAAACAACAACAACAAAATGATGACAAAATTCTACACGAGTCATCACTCATCAGGGAAAGGTTTTCTAATGTACACATTATAGAGGATTGTCATTGATTCTTCATCTTTTTCAGAGATTTATTTATAAACTTATTAATACATCTATGTATATGTATGAATATTGTCATGTATTTATATATTTATTAATAATAATGATAATACAAATATGTCTTTTTTTATATAGCGCTCTCACAATATTGGTTTCACGGCGCTTTACATGGTTTGAAGGTGGGAACATCAATTAAGTAAATACGCTTCTTAAAGGTGTCTAGCTAGTATGGATATCGCTTTGCTACGCGAGCCGACAAGTTACCTGTCGCGGCTAGCTGGCGGGGGCGCTGTTCATTGCGAGTACACCGTTAGGCATATATGGTAGACGTCTCTATGACGTCTGAAAACAGTTCTTTGAATGGAATTGTTCATCCCTAATATCCCTATTCAACTCAGAACCAGCCATTTAGCCTCATTATATGAGGAGATTTGCTCACCAATCACGGTGCGCACTAGTTGTACATGTACTGTTATTTATAATATATACATCGGTTCAAGGGTACACCCAACGGTGGCATGTACGTCTAGCGAAGAAGAAGAAGAATGTTGCGTATTTTACAGAGAGCCAAAATATAGATGGAAGACAAGAGAGAATTTCTCGAAATCTATGCACTGAAACTCAGTTTGATAAACAAGTCAAAGTACATTTATTTATTTCTCTATTTTAAGCGGAGGGCCAAAGTCAGAAAAGAGAGGTTTGCCTGCCTCATAAACTAAGCCCACCTTGTTTATTCGAAAGATTTTATCATAATACATAATATTTCAGAGGAGTCTTTTTTGTTATTTGTTGCGAACACCCCTAAATCGGAGGGGCGTCCAAAAGCGGCCCTTTTGACGTAAGGAGTATTTGGTTAATATATTTAAGGGAACCTTGACCCACCATAAGTTTGGTGTCATATGAAAGAAAAATTAAATTATCTTTAAAGATATAACGATTTTGGGATTAATGAACATTGCAAATTTAAGTAAAAAAACATGATTTTTGTGATTTTTTTTTTCTCGAAAATTAATATTGAATTTCATGAAAATAATATTTTCCATATATCAAAATCGGAGAGGTGCATTTTTTCCTAACTTTTTTTAGAATTTGCCCATGTGTAAGGAAAATATCCTGTGTAAAGAAGACGTTTTTTTTAATTTATTTTCAATAAAAAGTTATAGCAACCCAAATTTTATTGATTCGATTTCCACAAAAACAAAAGTATTACCCACATGTGTATTAACTGTATGGATATACATGTCTTAGTGTTTTGTGGACCTGCGCTTGTTTACATCGAGTTTCAAAGATAACTTTTAAGTAAAACCTCTAATCACCATTAATTTGGTGTCAAAAGATGGATAATGAAAATAATCGAAATAATTTTGGGCAGTATCTCGGTATATTGAATGAACAAAAGAGATTGGACATTTAGTAGTGCAGAAAGTTCGAAGGATTTGGAGTGCTGAGTCACTGAGTGTAATTGATAAGTACTTATTATGTAATTTGGGATGTTTCAGGACATGTGGGCATTGACAGTTGCACCCCCCCCCCCACTATCCCCGCCTCTCCAGCCCCTTATCATATTCTTGTCCATGACCAAGACCGTCAACAAACACAAATAAAGTAATGCAGACAGTCCAGACAGTTCAAAGGATTAGGCCAGGAGAGTGCTGAGTGCAATTGATAAGTATACCTCTGTACTCTGTGTGATGTTTTGGCAAATGTGGGCAAGGGCAGGAGCCCCCCTCCCACATACAATTAACTTTTGTATGAAACCCTCCAGGGGCGGATCTAGCTTTTTGCTAAGGGGGGGGGTTTGACCAAAATAATGACGATGCGGAGCATCGTCCACGAGCCGCGAAGCGGCGAGCCGATTTTTTTTGGGGCGTTTATTTGAACCCCATAAGTGATGTTTTCCTGGCATCTTTTAACACAATGGAGACCATAAAAAGCAGTGCATGATAACGTCTTTTTAAATCAAGTAACAGTTGAATACACAGTTATATCCAGAGTTATCATGTGTTTGGTTAAGTTACCAGATGAGTTGAATATCTTCTCACAATATTTGCACTTGAAAGGGTTTCTCTCCAGCGTGCGTTCTCTTTTCTTTCTTTTTTTCTTCTTTTTTG